AGGCCTTTTTCGGCCTCCCAGAAGCTTGGAAAAAGCCTCTGCAAGGCTTTTCAGGCCAAATAATATGCCCGTTTCATCACTTCTGATATTACAGGAAGTGATGAAATGGGCCTATTTGGTCTGAAAAGCCTTGCAGAGGCTTTTTCCAAGCTTCTGGGAGGCCGAAAAAGGCCTGAAACCAGCCGAAAAATCAGTTGTGAGGCACGTGCATGCACAGTGAGTTAAGTTTGCCTTCGGCTCGCGTGCTGGCACAAATGGCTCTGCATGCCGCTTGTGGCACACGTGCCATAGGTTCGCCATCACGGCACTAGATCATATTCCCCCTCAATTAAGCACCTACAAATAAATCTTGCTTAATTTCTATTCTTTAGCAACAATGGTGCCAAATAAAGAGACTTATTCCTAGTCCTCAATGTTCTGTCTGTTGCAACTCTCTGTCACATGAACAAAATTTGGACCCACTTGAATCCATCTTAATTTACAAGTGCTCATTTACCCACTGCTGCTAGCTGGTCCTACCTGCTACTATGCCCACCAAAGGAGCCTCTGTGGCGCAGTGGTTAGAGTGCAGTACTGCAAGCTTCTTCTGCTGCAGCCAGCTGCCTACAATTTGGCAGTTCAAATACCACCAGGCTCAAGGTTGACTCAGCCTTCCATCCTTCCGAGGTGGGTAAAATGAGGACCCAAATTGTTGGGGGCAATATGCTGACTCTGTAAAATGTTTAGAGAGGGCTGTAAAGCACTATAAAGCGGTATATAAGTCTAAGTGCTGTTGCTATTACATCATAAGCCACTACTGCACTGGCCAGAACCTTGTTTTGCACCAGTGTAGCTGAGATTTCTCTCATGTCCCACCCAAAGCCTTTTGAAAAAGATGTTTGGCATATAAACAAAAGCCCCATCATAAAAGAACCTTTCTAGCCAAATCTTTCACATGCCAGGCTTCTTTCTTGAAAGAAAGTCCCAGGTGGGGCAACTGGGGCATGAATGAGGCCCAGGCTGGCATGTAAACAGAAATGCTGGCTGGGGTGCAAGAGAAGTCTAGGCTGCACTGGCCCAAAAGAAGGAAATGCAAAAAAAGGTCCCGGCTGGTACTGTAGTGATGTACGATGTAGGGATAAGGACTAAGCTAGCGGGTAGCCAAAAGGGGAAGACTGGGGAGAAGATAGGCAAATAAAGGGAGTTCAGAGTGTCAGAGGAGGCAGTTCCTTATGTTACCAAAACATGGAGTGGGGAGGGACAAAGTTGGGAGTGACTTGGATCAGAATGTGTGTCCTCACCAAATGACCCGTGAAATTCAGTTAATGACAAAAATCAGTGCTTGTCAGTGCTAAGCAATGTAGTCATGTGATGTTACACGTCATGACTGCATCCCTTAACAGAAATTTGACTTGCAATTACCATTGTTAACCGTAGACTATTTGTGTAATCTTCCAGATGTTGCTGAATGAATATTCCCAGCAAACTCAGGAAACACGATTGATTATAAAAAAAAAATATTGGGATTTGTAGTCCATCAACATCATAATTTTCCATTCAGATATGTACATACACAGGGCTTGTAAGACTGATATAAAAAATATCTCCACTTGTCAGGACTGATACTTTTGAAAGAAATATTCTCAATTTCTTTGGGACCTTCTTACTAACTAAAGTTTGTAAAGTTTGCTGGTGAATATTTTTTAGTAACCTTCCTCTAAACTGCCTCTTTTCAGATATTCTGGGGCTACTAGTTGACAATGCTCACTAGGATTTCTAAGATGTATACAGTTCTGTCCCTGGACTCTAGAATGGCAAGACCCTTTTATTGCTTTGCACTACTGAGACAATCCTCAAATATATTCCGACAGATTCCAACAAAATGATTTATCATAATATTTATAGACATTTCAGAATTATATAGTATTATTTTGGATATTGAAAAAAATGATCATCTGTTATCTCTTCTTAACTCAGAGGAGTTACATTCCTGTTTTATGAAGATCATTATCCAGGCAAGCAGAAAATCGAAACTCATCCTTGGTAAAGAATAAGCAAGGAGGGATTTACTGAACCTGGAATGACAACATAGGTTACAAAAACCAGAATCTGCTGTTGAGGATTTGAAGCTACAATCCTATATACAGAGCGGTGTTCCTAAATTCAAGAGTTGACTTCTGAATAAACATAATCTCCTGGTTTGTTCTAAAATCTAAAACTGTGCAGCAATCCTGATTTTGAAGGAAAACGGTGATTCAACAAAAATGTTGTTCCTTCTTAAATCAAGTTTGGGAAAAGCACAGCTTTTTAAAGAATACGTACCGTACAATACACACCCACCCACTTGCTCCAGTTCCACCAAATTCCCTTTCACATGTGTGAGAAGAAAGATTATAGTAAAGAACCACTATCTCCTGTAGAGGAAGACTTTGAAATTCATTCAACACAGAATTGCTTCCCCTTTGTAATGATTTTAGAAATGTTTACCTGCTTTCCATTTTAAAATGCCTTTCGCTACAATTTTCCAACGTTTGTTTTCATGCAAGATATGAATTCTAATATATAGATACCAAAATAAAGATGTTTACTGTGTGCCTAATAATCAACACAAGAGATGCTATATAATAGTTGTAAGAAGAGACAAATATTCAATGGCAGAATGTGCCTCTCTAGTTTGAGAGGTCTTAAGTTCAAAGAGGTGGGAAGTGCACTGTGGGAAGTAGTTCTTGCTCACCGTGTGGTTGACTC